TTAAGAGTTGTAATCTCTTTCTTAAGGGAAGTGATGCGCAGGCGGGCCGAGTCCAGGTCCTTCTTCACCTGCATATTGGCTTCCACCTGCGAATACATCATATCAAGCGTCAGATACTCATTCTGAGCAATATCAAATTGAGCTCGATCCAAGGCGGACTCGGCCCGAGCTTTAGCGGCTGTTACCTCTTTGGATTTCTCCTTGAGGGGTTGCCTGAGCCCTTGGACGCGCAGCATGGCCTGCAAAAATAGCCGAATGGTTAAAACCAGGCGGATAAAGACTTGAGCTAAAAAAAAAAAAAAAAAAAAAAGAGAGAATTGCTTAAGTTAAGATTCATACCTCGCAGAGGTTCCCTAGGATGCCATCCAAGTCCAGGGTGCCGACTCCTCTGGCAGACGCCTTGTCGTCAGGATCAACCGCTCTCAGCATGGACTTGGCCATCTGGATTACAGTCGGCCTCTGCACAGGAACTGAGAAGGAAAGAAAGTTAGAAAAATAACACAAGTATATCTAAATGGAAGAACAATAAAGACGAATGGTTTTTACCGTCGTCCTTCGGTTCCTCCTCTGTCCCCAGACTCCTCTTCTCTCCTGCTGAGCCGACAGCAGCGGTGGGTTGCTTGAAGCCACCCTTCGATGCCCTCTGGGCATCCAGTTTGCTGATCTCCTTTTCAGCTTCGAGAGAAGAGGCGTCTGGGCCCTTCTTGGGCTTATGAGCAATGTGCTTCCGGCCGCCCTTGCCGGATGCGCTCACATCACCCGCCCTTGTCTTTTGGACCTTAGGGTCGGATGGTTTTGAAGGAGATTTGGAAGGCGCACCCTACATCAACACAAGATAAACGCCAGTAATAAAACATTCGGGCAAATTTAATATTGGTCAGAAATGAAAGTATAACAATTTCCTACCTTGGAGGTGCCGCCAGTTCTCTGCTCATCCACTTTGGTGTGAGTGGTTGCTTCTGCCCTGTTTAGGACATTCGACCTGTATCGAGCAGCAGATACAGCCGGCTTCCTTGTGGCCGAGAGCTTCTCCATTGCTTTGTCTGCAAAAATGAACAAGTGTTAGCACCATTAAACAGGTACTGAAAAGCAAAAGTAAATTGCATATAAAACAGACGGCCGACTACCTCTCGGCATTTCAGAACTTAGCCCACAGGCGGCTAAGAATGTTCCTTCTTCAAACCACTTGTACAAAGGGAGATAGCATTGAGGGGTGACCTCCTTGTCCCCATCATCATTCGTCCACACGGACACGGTAAACAACCCCGCGTCCATGATCTCCTCCTTTGCCCGCCTGGGAATGGGCGGCAATGCGCTCCTGCCTGCTAGGAGAGGTGGATCCTTATTCCACCTGTTATACTTTTGGTTCAGGCGGCTGTCGGCAGACTTGACTATGTAAAAATTAGTCCTCCAGTCTTTCCACTTGTTCTCTTTGCCAACAACCATCATGTACCCCTTGCAAGTGGTCAAGGTGTACCAGCCCTCACCGCCTCTAGCAGGCGCCCTGCTCAGATAGTGCATGTGGGCGAACGCTTCAAAGCTCGCCTCCACCTGCAGCATCTCACAGGTGGCAACGTACCCAAGAATATTGATCTAGGAGTTGGGTACATGTTGCCAGATACCCAGTTGGTATCCGTCCAAGATCCTCTCCACGGCCTGATGGAGAGGGAAGCGGAGGCCAGCCTGGAAGGCCGCTTCATAGCAGCCGAATGCTTTGTCCTGATAGCTGGCCAGGCTCGACCAGGTTATGGTGTCGCCCTCGTTAGGGGCCGACAAAGTGTAGCCATAGCCTAGGACGACCTTGCGCCTAAAATTGGCAAGGCCGGATGCCATGGCGCTCCGCCTGCCTGGCGGAACATGCTGATAGTAGGGGCTCTCTCCAAGCGCTTGGAAGCGCTCGGCTCGGCCCAGCTTTCCCCCCTATCCATTTCCAGGGACCCTCTGGCAGAATCTATTTTTGATCTAGCCTCCTCTGAAGTTATGGAAGCATTCTTTGAAGAAGATGACGAGGCCGACTCGTCATCAGAGCTCTCATCAGAGCTAGGGGACCGCCGATTGGTGCCAGCGGGGTCCTCCCCTAGACTCTCTTCCGGCGCCTGTCCAGAAGGCCCGGGTTGATATTCTTCATCCGCCTCCCCCAGGATTCCATCACTGGGAGTTCCACTAGATGTGGGCGAATGGTAATCGGTGGGGGTAGGAGGAAGATAGGAAGGGCTGTCAGGGTGTTCCGACAGCTCACTTCGAGGCACTCTTATTCAGCCGTCTGAATAAACAGTCGACCCATCCGAATGGTAGAAAACTCCATCGGAGCTACACTGCCTTGCTGTTCTTTTGGTTCTGGCCATAGTGTCCTTCACAGACACGGAAACGGTCGGATTCGGATAAGTTCGCAAAGCAGGGTCTTTGGCCAAGCATTCGGCACTGCTAGTTCTAGATTCAGCCGTCCCCGGTGACCGGTTGATCACTATCCTACGCCGTGCCGCATGCAATTGGGGAGCCATTTTTTCGAAAACAAACAAAAAATGAAGAGTAAAAAGAAAATACAAGCGTTACCTTTAGAAGAAGGGAGAAAGACGCCTAGTTGACTAAGGAACGGTCGGACTGTTGGCCGAGTGTCGGATGCTTGAAAAACGCTTAGGGAATTTTGAGATTCTTTAAGTCAAAAAGTCCAAGATTCTCCAAAGATTTGCAAAGGTGTGAATCCAAGGGGGGGGGGGGGGTCAAACTTCACTATTTATAGGGGGTAAAACCCTAATTTTTCCCTCCAGTAATTTTTGAATCTGACCACTCAGATACTGACACCTGTCACAGGAGTCACGTGCAATGCACGTGACCCCTGTGAGGGGCAAATGATTTGGGTATTTTATACCCGGCCAGGTGGCCCAATCAGAAAGCGCCACGTGTCCTCCATATAGGTGCCATTTGGACCTATGGAATGATGACTCTTCTCCGTCCTACATGGACTGAAGGTCCAGCAGGGACCATTCAGGTGGCGACACGTGTCACTCAAAAGGTGCTTCAGAATCCTTTTGGGCACAGTGACACGTGTCACTCAGGCATTGGCCCTAGGATGGCGGCCTTCTAAGGCCCAAATCCCGAGGCGCCGCAAAACGGCGTGACCTAATTCCTAGGTCACCAGATCCTAGGAGGGGCACACTTTTGAAAAGGACCCTATAAATAGGGATATTCTGGCATTTATGTCGGGGAGAGAGAATTTTACACGCAATACGAGACAATACGTCACTTATCACACTTTACCTGAGCTTGGAATCCGAGCAGATAACTTTATTTCCGCACGTTTTATTACCGAACGTTTACTAACTTAGTCTTCGGAGGCGGACCCCCGACCATCCGGCGGTCCGTTTGCTTTGCAGGTACAGGCATCCTCAGTTGAATCCAGCTTCAGGGTTGTAATTCTCCCAAGGGATAAAAACCCCCGAAACAACAACAACAACAACAACAACAACAATAATAATAATAATAATAATAATAATAATAATAATAATAATAATAATAATAATAATAATAATAATAATATTAATGACATAAATTAATGATAAGACAAAAGGAACATTTATTATAACAAAATGCACTTATAATCTACTTAGGAGACAAAAAACTTGAAGTACTACGGAGATTACATGCATTAATTCCCTTTGTCGAAAAACCGAGCGCTACTTATGTAAAATGATGAAAATCATCATTGCCATTAATAAAACTACTAGGGCCATAATTAAAACTAAGTATAGCTTTAATTTCCTTAAATCTTCTTCAAAGGTAAAGGAGTGTGGTGGTTGTCGGTTGTCAAAGGGGAACATGGTTTGTGGCCGGAGTGAATGTAGGAAGAAGAAGATGAAATAATTTGGGTAAAGTTTAAGGAGGGGATAAGGTTTGTAAGGTGAAATAAGGGGGGTGTAATCCGCTTTTATAGGTGGGTGAATTATCCATTGTAGTTTTACACAACTGTAAAAATATCACACAATGTTCTAGTAGACTTGTAAAATAATTGTAATCAAACTATTAATATTTATAAAAGGAAATAAGTATCACACTAGGATGCAAACCGTAGTGGTCCGAGAACCCTAATCTATTCATGAGGTCAAGGGTTCGAAACTGAAAGAAACATAAAAAGTGTGTAATCTAAAATTAAATAAATATAAAGGCTGCATCATTTTTTTTCCATTTTAGTAATTATGCATAAGTATGTAAGTATGAACATGATTTGTATGAAATTTACTCTATTAACATGCATACAACAATTATTTCCACATGCAAAAGTAATTATATGTTACTTTCTATAACCATGCATGAGAGTTACCAAACTAAATATCATAAATATAGTATGTATTGATATCCTCATTTTTATCAACATGGTTAATTATGTAAAGTAATTTTGTGGAGAAATATATTGTGAGTTTCTGGTATAGAGGATCTCATATGGGCAACTATAGAGCATACTCCTCAAAATATATTTTGTGAAAGAAATTGAAATCTTTCTAAAATTGGATAATCGGTATAAGTATACCTGATTGAAGATGGTGCTGATAACGTGTTATAATTTATATATATATAGAGAGAGAGAGAGCAAAAAAGTATTTTACTATCTGTAATATTATTGCACTACAGATGAAAATGAGAAAAAGGGGTGAATTTGCAAATGCATTTCACCGTGTATTTATAGTAGAAGCATGCTACCTCTACTAGATATACACAAGTCATACATAGATTACTACACTAGTGGAAAAAATCTCATTCATAACGGGCTATTTGTACCGGGCAAAGCTTTGCCCGTTACAATTAAGATATTCGTAACGGGCAAAATAGTGTCCGTTACGAATACTTATTTATTTGTAACGGGCAAAATAGTGTCCGTTACGAATACGTACGTATTTGTAACGGATAAATTAGTGCCCGTTACAAATAAATAAGTATTCGTAACGAACACTATTTTGCCCGTTACAAATATTATATTACACGTATAGAGGAGTCCATTACTTGGCTTTTTATTAGGGTTTCACCTTTCATCTAATAGCCGCCAATCCGTCATTTACTCCCTCTCTCTCTCCTCTCCTCCCCGTCATTCACCTCTTTCTCTCATTTCGAACTTAGTCCTTCTCTCCTCTCCTCCATCAATCTTAGAGAAAAAATGGTTAAATTGGGGGTTTTGATTTGCTTTATAGAGTTTATTGACGGGGGTTTTGAACTTGCGCAACAATTTCTGGGAGCGTGTTGTTGTGGTTTGTTGCGAAGAGATTGCACTTTCTGGTGGTCTTGTTAGGCAGAAGATGAAGTATCTTTGTTTTCTTCGTAAGAGGATGAACACCAAACCTTCTCATTCTAAGATCTCCTAGTGTACTGTTCGAGGGTATTTCCTGTTTTCTCTGGATTTTTTGTTTTTCGATCTATTTTATTTGGTATTTTATATGTTTGATTGATACATGATGATATAGGATTGCTTCTATGTTTGAGAAATGTAATTTGTTTCATGAATTTTTTGCGATTTTTTAGTTAATTTATTTATGCTTGAAAATTGGATGTGAATTTATTTAGCTAAGTGTGATATTTACAGGATAGAGTACTTAATTCTGCCTGTTTTTGACTAAATCATAGTGTTTTTGGGTAGAAGATGATTTTTTTTCTCTTAAAAAAATGCTCATTGAAAAGGGACTATGGAGCTGATAATTACAATGAACTTATTTAATTTTAAAATCATTGATAAAAGTATACTTGACTTGGTTCTGAGGCATTTCTGCTGTTGTACGATATTGCAACTGTATATTTAACCAGATGCTATATCTTATCTAGACCTAAGATTCATGGAAGTTCTATGAAACTAAGGCTATAATCAGTGATGACCATATATTTCTATTCTATTTTGCGCTGGTATGATACTTTGGGTATGTGCCCTAAGTGCTTGGCTCTGCTTTTTTTATGCAAAACTAGTGGCCTAGACAATGCCCCAGGTTTATATTATTTATATGTAATGTAAGATTGAAAGAAATTTTATTTACTTAACACAGTTGGTTATAAAGGTCATACAATATAATTAATATCTAAATAATGTGTATATGCTATCCATTGGATTAGTCTATTTCAATTACAGAATATTATAGCTTTGGTATGATAAATAAACCAAATAAATTTTGATAAGATGAGTTTGTAAATTGATCGCCAGCTTAGGCATGATTGTCTCTGTACACGTGCTGCCTTGTTTCTTTAAGTTTAGCTCAAATTCTTGGTTGATGTTGGAGATATTTGTGTTTCTAATTCGGGCCATGCTTATTGCTGACGACTTCTCATTTTCCAGCGGAAGTAGAAAAATGACGCCCACATGGCTGTTAGGGATTTGAATCAAGCTCAGAAAATTAGTTCATCTTCATTTAAAGCACGTTTCTGCATGTCTGAAGCTCTATCTCAGGTTAGGATCCATTTTTTGTGCTACATACCTCTGGCATTTGGTATATCCATTAGATCATTTATTTGGTAATTAGAAGATTGTCACTTAGTGATTTGATAATTTCAGTTAAGCCCATTTTTAGCTAGAGATATCAACTAATGACTGCACATTTTCTATTAAATAAAAATAATTAAGAGAGAATTTCTTTTACACCCTCAACCTGGGACAACTGCCTAGCTAATATGAAATAGTTGTGTTTAACAACAAATAAGGCATTTGTTTCTTATATTGAAATATGACTGTCGTAATCCAAATATAAAAGTACTTTGACTTTTCTAATCTTGATAATTAAACTAGTGATCTTAATATAATTTTGGTGGCTGAAAATTTATTTCTGTGTTAAGCCTGATTTGGGATATTATATTCTTCTGGATGATCAATTTGATGTTTCCTGCCAAAGATTTTCTTAAGAAATCAACAATCAGGAAAAGGCTGGTACCTTGAAAGTTATTAGTCTTGTTCTTTTCATGAGAGACATGTCTTTATAGTATAAATTTCCCACCAGTGTATAGTAATGGATTAGACAATTTCTCAGATACCAATGTTCAGGAAATCCATATTGGATGCTAGGACAAACTATAAAGGACCTTGAAAAAAGGTAAACATTTTGATGATAAGAATTGATTGAAATTGAATCTTTTGGCACTGATTGTCACTTCCAAGTAGGATTTTTCTTTGTTATCGTTTAAATATGTACTACCTCCAAATCTGAAAAATATTGATACTAACTATTTGCATAGACTCTAATGCAACCCTTTGGCGAATCTAACAAGATCCCATGCAAAATTTTGAATATCCAAAGTGTGTAATAGTAAGAATTTGTGGTCAAAGTTTAACACCTTTCAGATTTGGAGGTATTTGAGAATTTCACTTCCAAAAATACTGGACTAAATCATGGGACTCTATCTGTAAAGATGCTGAGACCTTGGAATTCCTGTTTCGTTTTACTTTATTGTTACAAATTCGATCTTTAAAGATGCTCTAGATTTTGCTCTTGCAGCTCAGTCTCTGGATCCCTCAAGAGCCGAAGCGTTGGATAGTATAGAAAGTATACGTAAGGAGCTTTCAGCAGGTCTGTGTTTAAAACTTATAGTTACATTTATTTATATGTCTCTTTGAGTTAGGTTTTCGGGTTTACCATTTTTTTACCCAGGCAGGGGATGATTTGTTGAGTGTTGCCTCTTGAAGCTTTTATTTTGCATTATTTTTTGTTACTTTTGATGATGATGGGTGTTTGGCATTATTTTTTTACTCTCTTACCCCCCCCCCTCTTCCTGATTTTTATTATTATATGTGATCCAGGAGGTGAAGTTGGAAGTGAAGCTTCCTTGGTTGCATTGTACACGGCAGATAACATGTTGGACTTAGACACTTTTGATGCCAACTCCGAGCTTATGATTATGGGTGGGCTGAAGCGTGGTGTAACGCTGCCATCATTGGTTCGATGAAGGTTAGACTGGTTGAACCTTTGGGAAGTAGCTTTGCGAAGTATAGCAGCTTAGTGTTTTTATGTTTAAGTTTGTTTTATTAAATCGATGTACTCCATTGAAGTTGAAGATGCTCTTTTTATCATGAAAAAAGTAAATATCTGTCATTTTTTTTTATGAAAAATATCTGTCATATAATCTAACTTATCAAAATTTTATTAGGGAAAGCAAGTTGGCTGAGGCTGCCAAAACACTAGAAGTGAATGTGGGAAGCCAGGAACAGCACCTGATGCTGACCTTGGTCCAGTCGTGAGCAAGTAGCCGAAGCAGGTATTGAACCTTAATTCTGTAGTCTTGCTGTGCACCTGTCATAGAGTTTGTCCTGAATGTAGGTTATCAGGAAATTCTTAATACCCAAAACTCATGTTTCAAAGGTCTGTCATATGCTAAATTAGTTCATCTCATTTGATCCATCAGACAGAGATCTAATTTTAAGCATTTGGAATTTGTACTGCTTGGGCTCTTTAAGGGCTCATCAAATTCAGCCTTAGAAAGATCCTCCAGTTTAGTTCAATTACATCAGACTTAAAAATTATGGAAAATTCCAGTGGCTTTAAAACTAATATGATTAAATATTTCCCCATAGGCCATCCAGAATACAGGTGCAGAAATTGACTAAGTAGCAGGGTCCAAAGGAGTTGCAATCTTATTCCTTTTTCTATATATTGTCGGAATATTTGGTGATTAAGACCATTCTAATTCTCTTTTTCGCCAGAGGCACAAATAGTATGGTGTTTATCACCTGCCACCTGCTAGGCTGGAGCTAAAGGGGAATGTCCTCAAAAGTAGCTTGGTACAAGAAACTCTTGGGTGTTTGAGAAAAGGAGGATAGAACCAGACTTAGTATATGCAAAAGCTCCAAAATTTCTTGATGAAGTGAAGCAGCTTGTGCTCATGAAGAGTGCCCGTAGCCACTATTTAGTAACTGTTTGGAAGCCACCTAATGCAGGCTAGTATAAGCTGTTATGACTTGCAGACCTCAGACAGCTTAGTATAGCAGCAATTACACATCATTATGTCTCTTTTTCTTATATATCTTGCTTTTGGTTGAATTATTAAAGGAATTAAATGGAATTGGAGTAATTTCTTATGTTTCGTTGGAAGCTTGGAATGTTAGACTAATTGTTGGATAATAATTCGTGGGTTGATTAGCATATTTAGTACTTTTGTTACAGATGAATTGGGTTACGAATTGTATGACAATTGATGTATTTTATGTTTCTAAGTTGGAAATATGTTTATTTTGATGATTCTGCTAAATGATGAATGTGATTATTTTTCAGGTTGTCTTGAAGATTAATTGGAGGTAACTTGAAGATGGTGTTTGGAGGCAGCCTCGGAATTGAGATCAAAGTTGCAGCTACTCGGAAAAATGGTGGAAGATGTAAATTATTCAACACACTATTTTAGAGGAAAATAATTTAAATCTAATGGTAGTCTTATGTAAACTTGTTTAATTATTATTACAATTGAGATTTCCTTTGTTTTAGTTATTAGGAAATAATTAAAGCAGCTTTTGCGTGCTGATTGTATATTACTCGGTAATTATTAAGTGTGTATATATATATATATATATACTAATTGATATAAGTATTCAAAAATATTATTTTGCAAGCTAGCTGTCCAGCATGTGCTGGATTTTTTTTAATTAGATCTCAAAGTATTCGTAACGGGCAGAGCCTGTCCGTTACGAATAACCCCGTTATTCGTAACGGGCACCTGAAAATCCCGTTACAAATAACGGGGTTATTCGTAACGGGCAACATAAATGTCCGTTACGAATAATAGATTATTCGTAACGGATTTTTCAGCTGCCCGTTACGAATAATAGGTTATTCGTAACGGACGGTGCCCGTTACGATTAAGAAAGGCCATCCGTAACGGCCGCATACGTAACGGTCACTGCCCGTTACGGATGGGAAGTTTTTGCCCTTTACGGATGGCCTATTTTCAACTAGTGCTAGGTTTGGAAAATATTGCCTATGCATTTAATGGTATTGTCTAAAATATCAATAATTGTGTGACATTCACACAATGATACAAGTTACTTCATAACACTTTTTTTTTTGGTGCACACGAGGGGCAAGCCCCAAAAGGAAATACAAAGCTAGCAACTAGAAAAGAAAAACAAAACACACCAACAGAAACACAACCAAAAGAAAAAAGGAAAAACAAACAAAGCTACAAAATAAAATAGTCACTAGCACTAAGATGCTTCAGGAACCATCCTAGGTCTCGTGACCCCACCCAAGTCCTCCAATAAAATGGCACGAAGGTCCTCCGGGACCGCCTCAAAGATGACCAATTTCTGATTAGAAGACACTCCAAAATTTGCAAGCCAATCAGCCACTCGATTAGCCTCCCGATAGCAATGGTGTATTATGACTTCCCAATCCCGCTCAGAAATTAAAGTCTTGCACTTTCGGATCAAATGATAAAAAGGGGAGTTGGGAGGAATTGGATCTCCCAACATTCGAGCCACTGTGCTCGAGTCCACAGTTAATTGCACTCGTCTGTGCCCACTGTTCCATGCTATAGCTAGCCCACGTAATACCCCAATTAACTCAGCCTTCGTGCTAGTACAAATCAAACATTGTGAAGCAAACATTTGGAAGAGCTCACCCCCAGCTCCACGAATAACACCACCAGCCCCAGCTTGCCCCGGATTACCTTTGGACGCTCCATCTGTATTCAATCGCACCCACCCTTCTCTTGGGAAATCCCATCTAATTAACAGTTTTGTCCTTCGACGTTTACTCCTATTAGCTTCCCAAATTTCAGCCTCGTAAGCTCTTCGAATGTCACCAATTCGAGCAGCAATAATGCTTACTTGGTCAATAGGAATAGAGGCATCCCGGCTAAAGCTTCTCTCATTCCTCCATCTCCACAACCACCAACAAGTAGTGGCAAAGACTAGAGGCCAATCATTGTCTTGGGCCTTTAAATTATGTTCAATCCATTCCTTCAGTGACTGATTTTCCCACAGAATGTTGCTTCTATCACAGATTTTATTCCACACCATATTGGCAGCTGGGCAATCCCGTAGTATGTGCACGTACTATATTTTCCTCAATACAACCACATAAGAAGCAACGAGGGTCACTAGTCAGCCTTCGCAAGATCCTATTAGCATTCGTCATGGTTTTATCTTGGTAAGCCAGCCACAAAAAAAAATCGCATACGTTGCGGTGCTTGAATTTCCAGATGAATCGCCACACGCTCCTATTTTCATCATCAATCCCATCATCCTTCCGAATGATTTGCATAACCGATTTGATAGTGAAACCCCCAGAGCTCGAACCATTCCAAAATATGTTGTCAATTGCATCATCATCTTCAATTAATTCGTGAGCTTGAATCAATTGAAGAGTATCATTGGGTAATTAATCAGCAAAAAATTCACTCTTCCATCCCTGCGTTGCATCCCACATATCACTCACAGCAAAATGAACTATCGTAGAACTATTCCTTTTTTTTTTTTGACAACATAGAACTATTCCTAAAAAAAAAAAAAAACTACCGTAGAACTAAAAATTTTAAGGTACAGACGATTGTACCTTGCTCGGTACTGACAAAAACGCGGAAAGAACATACGACTATTTTGTGAAGAGCATTTTTTTTTTGGTGTTTAGAAAACCAAAAAGGACGGGGGTGAGAATCGATCGCAAGATCACCTGAAATCAGAAAATCTTTAACTACTTGAGTTATCCCTCACTCTCTTTGTGAAGAACATATAGTTGTTTTGTAAAAAAAAAAAATCCAATTTTATGTTTTTTTTTATATATTTGATAATATCTAAATATTAATAAAGAACATGATAATGTTATGTAATGAATACTATTTATATATACCCACCACAATTTGAAGACAAAATTCAAATAATATATTATAATAAGCAATTAACATTATGTCACAAATAAAAATACATTACACTGACAAACAAAGAACATTTCACATGGACATATGTTCTTTCCACTCTTTGGTGCAAATATGATCTTTTCATTCTAGGTATATGTTCATTATGTTGAATAATTTTGAGAATTGGAGACAAATTTCAAGTAAATAATTAAATTACTTACGTTATGGTATTGTAATTTAATTAGAAAAGATTATTAAAGCATTGTATACTTTGAACAATCTAGAACTCACGAAAAAGAAGAAGTAAAGCTGCTGCCTCAATGTTCGCCCGGTCAGCCGCCCGATCGTGGTGGTGCTCACCCGATCGGGCGCGAGGGTAATCTGGAAAATCGTCTTCTTCACCGCCCGATCGGGCAGCCGCCGCCCTATCGGGCGCGAGAAGACTCTTTGAATGACGTTGGTTTCCGCCCGATCGGGCGGCGGCAGCCCGATCGGGCGCGTGTCAGAGAGGAAAGTGAAACTGACGGTTTCGTCAATTTTGCTTGGAGAAGTTCAGTTATTTTCATGCCTTTTGGAGTAGATTATGCTTTAATATATATATGTTCTAAGAACATATGTTCATACACTTGAGAAAAATCAGAAACTTATTTTTCTTGAAACCTCTTTGCAACATATTATCATCATTATAAATCCAAAGGCTTATCTACATTGAATTGTAATCATCCTACTTGTGATTGCAATTGTTTCTTCGTTGTATCTCCTAAGTAAATTTCCGTGAAAACCCGGTTGTAGTTTAGGGTCGGAATTATACTTTTGGGAAAGTGATTCCGTTCACACCTCGAAGTTTTCCGGTTTAATTGTTTGCTATTTTTGTGACCCTTGTTCATACACAAATTCCCCAACACATTATATTTTAATATTATGTTCTTTTCACTCTATGTATATGTTCATTACATTTTAATAGTATGTTCTTTTCACTATAGCTATATGTTCATTATTTTTTAAATTATATTCTTTCCAACAAAACAGTTGTACGTTTCAGTGTACTAGCGCTTGCAGGGACCAGCGATTGAAGTAGAACAAAACAAAGTTAAAAGAAAAAATAAAATAAAAATAATTGATATTGTCGAGCTTTGATAGCCAACCAGTGAGCTGGAGCAACCCAAGGAAAAACCTTACGAATCTAGCAAGAAAATCCAAAAGAATTGTCCTAATATTATGAAGCAACCAAATGCATGAGACGTCATCCTAGTGAGAGAAGAGAGACCAATGTAGCACAATCTGAGTAGATAAGAAAGCAAAAGTGTCTTTTTTACATGGCAGATCGATAAAAAAAAAATACTCCCTACATACAAATAAAGGTTGAAGAAATTATTTATACATAATGGGCATAAACTTTAATGACACAAGTTATAACAGGTGAGTATCACTTAACGAATTTCATATGGTTGACTTTTATGAGTTGGTTTTTTAATTCATATTTTTTTGGAAAATTTGCTAACACCACCTTTCACCGGTCTTCCCTAAATAACACCACCTTTTGATTATTCCACAATAACACCACCTTTGACACATATCTGCCAAAAATAATATACGTTATTTAGGGAAGACCGCTTAAAGGTGGTGTTATTTTCGACAAATTTTCCTATTTTTTTTTTTTTTTGCAAAATTTGATTCTAATAATCCAACCTTTACTCGATTTTTTTTTTTTTATTAATCCGACCTTTTGATTATTCACCAATAATCTAAGCTTTACACCCCATTCTATTCTATTAGGCCAAGTTGACCTGCTACCAATTGTTCAGGTAATTTTTTTTTTCATTTTCAATTTTTTTTTTAAAAATAAGGATTTAAAAAAATAAATAAAATAAAAACAAAAGTAATTCTTCCACAGCCACCCAATTTCCCCTTCCCATACCACCCCCACCTCCCTGCCTCCCTTTCCCATCCTTTTCCGATTCCGACCACCCTCTTTGCCACCTCCCTACCTCCCATAATTCCACCTCACTCTCTCTCTCACTCTTACTCCCTGCAAATCCCACCTCTTCCTTCTGCCATTAAAATTAATTGACAAATAATACTCCAACAACCCAAAAATTTAAAATACGAATTTATCAATTTGGAGGAGGTGGGGGGTTTCTGGGTAGGGATCGGGTTGGGGGTTTATCTGGGTCATGGATTGGGATTTCGGGTTAACTGGGGTTTTCGGGTTGGGGATTGGGTTTGTCGGAAAATTGATCTACATTTCATAGTTGTTGGGTTGTGTGGGCTGTGTGAGAGTTGCGGTGGGTTGTGTGGCTGTGTGAGAGTTGCGGTGCGTGTGTTGGTGCGAGGTGGAGCAGGGAGGTGGTGGAGGTCAAGAGGGCTGCCGAGAAAGTGGAGGGGAGGAGGATGCTGTCGGAAAAAGGGAGGGAATGTGGAGGATGGAGGTGGTGGGGAAGAGGGTAGCCATTGATGAAGGTGAAAGGGAAGGATGGAGGTTGAAGGAAGGGGAAAAAATATTAAAAAATAATTTATTTTTTTTTAATTATTCCAAAATTATTTAAAATTATTCTGATTTTTTTTATATTTGGACGAATTATAGTGTGACACGTGGTAAGATCACTTGCTATTAGAGGTATGTAACCGGTTTGGCCTAATAGAATAGAATGAGGTGTAAAGCTTGGATTATTGGTGAATAATCAAAAGCTTAGATTAATAA